CTCAGCGCCTCTGAACTAATGCTCTCCCTGAGAATGTTCATGGCATAAATTGCCGGTCATGCGGTGAAAAAGCAGTAAAGTTATTTGAACTTTTTGAGATTATGAAAAACTGTTCCTACTATACAAAATCTGAGCGGAGAAGCAACTAATCTGACAGAATTATTTACAATGACTCGATCACTCTCAATTGTTTCGGAAATTCGATCGAACTAAAAAGAACAGTTGATTTTCCTTACTACTAAACAAACTCTGCCAAAACCGCTTCATGCTCGGTAATTTTCACTGGGTAGAAATTGGTTTAAGGTTGTTTTCGCCTGTAAAACTAAAACCACACAGCACCATACAATGCAAATGCTTGTAAATATAATGTGTAAAATACACTACAACGGGAAATGGCCCAATGAATGTTTGAGGAGACGAAATTTTTGTCGATTGAATGTTCTGCACTGCTCTTGATTGTTTTTTTATCACCCAATTTTACCGATCTTTACTGCAAAGAAGGATAAGGTGTCACTTTTGGATGAATTTTCTATGTTTGAGCTGCGATGAGTTTTGAACATCATTTTGACCATAAATTAATTTTGTTGTCTAGATTCCAAAAGTCAACTTCATGAGGTGTTATTTCAAATTTTTCTGAAAGTTTTTTCTCAAGATTTTTCAAATCGCTACCTTCATACTTGCGTCCCCAAAACAAAGTTGATGTGGTTGCGTTTACAAATAGCGTAGAGACAGGTCAGCGGTTTTCAGATGGCAAAAGTGTCTGCCCTCAGTAATCAAGTTTTAGAGTTAGCACTCCTTTATGTTAACCTCTCATTGTTTGCCTTTCAAATCAATAATTTGCCCGTACAATTGTTCATCACACTGTCATGCGCTAGCTTTCACGTGCTTTTTGTTGTGAAGTTAAGGTTTCTTCAAGAGATTTTTCTGCAGGGCACCCCTCAGTACAGACCATTGTCTTAAATCACGTCTAGGGTCATTGCATAACAATTTGTACGATCAAAGTTCTGTACACAACCTAAGTTTGAAGGTTGTTTTAGCTGAATACTAGTTCCGCACAAAACGTGTCATGGGAAAATCCAGTGTCTGCGTTCTTACACAATAACTAAGGTGTTTGAACGCCAAATGGTTATGCAAAAAAATTAAGTGTTTTTAGTAATTCTTCAAAAGGCGATAACTTATTTAATAATAACTTATTTAACTTATTTAATTCTACAAAAGGCGCTTGAAAATTGGCTGCAAAGTTCCACGGCGTTCTCGCAATGAGATTTCATTTGGTTCTAATGAGGTAAATTTTACAGTGAATGGAATCTACATTGCAAACCATTTATTCTTATTATATTATAATAATTAAACCTATGCAATTACTAGCATAAAGTAGTAATGAAGTTACCATGGGTTCTTACATTGAATGTGTGTTGTTTTTGGTCATAGCAAAAACGATCTGTTCGCTTTCATAAAGGTTTTGTCCATGTGTTGACTCCAACTGAGTTTGCCAACTATAAAACATTCCAGGTCTCTTTGCCAGATATGCCAGGCCTCTTTGACAATTTTTGAACCAGTCCCCTACGTTGTACATAATCTTTTGTCTGAACTCTTGTTCATAGTTTTCGAAACCAGCGCAATCAAAGTCGTTCTAAAATCATTAAAAAACTTATCGATGTTTAATTTTTGTCACATTACGAGACTTGCCTGTGCTCTAATGGGAATTGAAAATTTTTATTTTGGGGAAAAAATCTTATTTTTCGGCTCAACTTGTGTCTGCTTAAAGATTGTCCACTTAGTTGCCTAATCACGGATTTCTTGGTCTGTAAGCAAGTTTCAATCAGTTTACAAAGCAAGCCTTATTCAATGTGGTTTCAGGAAGAATTTTTGTGAAATCATTTTTTTCGGCCTCCACTGATATCTTCTCTTAACTTGTCTGCTTTGTTATCTTCTGTTGCTATTTTCATAATAAAATGTCGGGCATATTTGCTTAAAATGAACTTTTACCGAGGTTTACGAAATTTAAATTTAAATAGAATTAGTTTTTTTCTAAGTTTTTAAAACTTTTTTTGACCTATTTTTCATGTTTGTGCTGTATCGCAAGTAATGCGAACTCCGTTTCGACTGTCAATAATTGTTTGTTTTTTCAAGCATCTCAAGGATCTTTGAATTTTAGATATGCTAGTGAAAATGAGTTCAAAAGCGTGTTCGTTTCCAGATTGCATTACTTCAGAATACTTAGCTATTGGAGGAATGCCTTTTTTGTTGTTGTTTTCAGATTTTTTTTTCGCTGTCGCTTTCGTGATTAGCTTTTGAGTTAAAAGAAAAGTACGTGATGCCCGTTAATTTTGACTGATGCGCGTATATCTAAATGAATCAATTTTTGAAAACAAATTTGAGGCAATTGACAATAATGAACGGGCTTTTTGTCAAATTGAATTTATTCTTCTGAGCTCTATTTCTTCAACCATGTTTCTGTTTGTCGTTGATTACCTTGAAAAACTTTCATGTGTTTTTTTTATGTCCCGCTGCAGGAAAGTACTTGAAATTATCCAGAAATTAGCCAAATGACTTGAATCAACTGTAAACTTTGTGAAAACAGTGGTGCTAGAAAATTTCAAATTTTGTACAGGTCAATTTTACTGAAAAGTTTAAACTGTATAACTTGTTTTTTCTAATTTGCTTTTTACTTTCCTTTTTTTTCTAATTTCAAAGCGTTATCGAAGCGTAACATGCCGTTTTTTTTGGGTTAACAGCTAGTTCAACAAAATTATTGAATTAGTAATATTTCTGCTGTGCTGCTGACATGCTCAGTTTTATGGACGAGCAAAATTAACTACCGGGTACTGGTTACTACGCATGACATATCTGAAACTCGATTCATTGTATGTATAAATACAATTTTGATAATAATTTTTACTGATGGTTTTTCAGCTTCATGGTTGACTACTCAAGCTCTGTCGGTTCAATTTCCAAATTATGTAGTTTACTTTGCATACGCTAATTTTATAGCTATCTTTATTCTATGTAGTTGTTTTTGCCTAAATGATTTTTGACGAAAATTTTTGGCTAAGTCTAAGCTTTTTGGTTGTCGGCTTCAATTGTCGCGGCTCATTCACTGAAAGCTTTCTTAAAATATCCGGCAGTACTTTTGAGATCAATAAGACAATTTTTTGAATGCTGAAATCCAATATCACAAGGACCTCTTTGAAAGCTTGAATAAATTCAAGCTTGAAAAGATTTTTTTGTTCCGACCTATTGAAAGTTTTTACAGAACTTTGCATTCGCGTGTCTTTAAGTTTTCATCTTTTTTGCTTTCCACGCAAAAACAGCTATCACTAATAACCATCCGAGTGTTGAGTGATATATCAAATTGAACCTCTTTCACTCATTAGACAGGTTTAAAAGTTTTTGATTTTTCTAAATTCAAGCGAGCGAACACTATTATTTAAGCTTAGTTTGGGCTGTTTAAAGTAGCTTATGTATTCCTAATTTTGATTGTTTTCGAGAAAATTTATTTTTTAAATAGATTTTTAATGCCTTTTTGGGAATCAAAACTTCAAAAATTTGAAAGTTTCTGCAAAAAAAATGAAAAATTAATTTGATTTCATTTAAAATTCATTTAAGATTTTTTGTTTTTCTCGTCATTTTTCTTCAAAATCTGTTGTCCTGTTTGTTTACATTACTATGATCGTAAATTATTCCTAAATTATAGTTTTTCATCATATCCTTTTATCACACCACGCAGAAAGAAATAAGACTTATTTGAACAAAAATTTTCTTACTTTTTTTAGAAACTTGATTGTGTAATCAATTAAGCTTCCGGGTTATAAAATCTGAGCGTGCTACTGGAATCAAGCTGTGGAAAAATTAATGACAGTCCTTAAAACCGTTCTAGTAAAAAGCAGAAACGGTTTTAAGTGTTTTCAAATTTTGTTTTGACAACAAAATATTACGAAATTAGTTTTGTTTTGAAGGCTCTAGGACTTCGGCCAAATCTTGCAGTCGTTAAAACATAACTATGCCTTTTTTGGCGCTCGGCGATTTTACGGGGAGCCTATCTATTTATAAAAAAATTTGCAAACCATTTTTCTCGGGAATAAATTTTTTTTGTGGAATTTTCATACCTTTTGAAACGCTCTTGATGTAGTTTTCTTTCTGTGATATATTGCTCAAACTTGAACGAAAATATGCGTAAAGACAATCCTCTTCAACCCAAAGTTTTTTAGCTTCAAACCAAAGTTTTTTTAGCTTCAAACCAAAGTTTGTTGGTTATTCCCATTGTAACATTGTAAACATGGTCACCTAATAAGTGAAGAAGAACTTGCTTTTTTTTGGCCTGAATAGATTTTCAGCAAATTGAAAAAGTAAGCGAATTAAATTTACATCAGCAAGTTTTCCCATCGCCCGAAATTCTTAATGCTTCAGGGGCATTGAGTGGGTTATCGTATCAATTCCCGTTCAGTCGTAATTCAGATCGCAACATAAAACATAAAAAAATCTGCTCATTTAACAAAAACTGATTGTATTCGTTTTTAGCATGATTTTGAGAGTGGAATAAGAAATTTTAAGAAAGTTATAGATAATTTATCGTCAACTTTGAGTTAAGCTGTAAATTTATTTACTACTGCTATCCAAGAAATTGGTTGAACATTTGAAAACATTGAAAAAAATTCACAATCAAATACCGGTCAAAACATTCTGTGATATTTGCACAGTATCCTGCTACGCTTCTTTGTTTTCTAATTTTTCTGATGACTCGGCAAAAAATTTTGACCTAGTTGAACAGTAATCGACTTTTCTAGTTTCGGTCTTCATATTAGAATTTAGATTTACATTGGAAACAAATCAATTTAACAAAATGATTTAGTTGATATCCTTATTAAGTAATTATTCTACCGACTTTCCAGTAAGCGTAATACGAGCACCTAAAAAAGTTATTAAACATTTTCAGTAACGAACCTTTTTTTTTATTGGTAGTTTCGGCAGACAATAATTGATGAACACTTTTCAGATGTATCTAATGGCCAATCGGGTTGAGGCGCTGTTGGCAGCCTTGGAGGCTTTTGTCTCGGATGACGGATCCATATTAGGAATTGAAGATGTCGCTCCTCTAGTTGAGTCCATGGAAAACATCACATCAGTCGAATCGAAATGCACTTTCGTTAACATCCTTCTCAATACGAGTAAAACTACAATTCTGAACAAATTTGTCGCGACTGGAGGCTGGAAAATTCTTAATAGATGGCTTTCAGAAGTTTTATCTGCAAGCGAAAACGACTCGATGTTCATTGAAGAACTCTTGCATGTTTTGTTAAAACTACCAGTCACTATTGATCTGCTAAAAGCGGAAAAATCTACCCCACTTATGATTAAAAGTTTATCAAAAAACACTAAATATAACTCCGAAGTTATAAAATTATCATCTCAGATTGTAAAGCAATGGACTGAAGTGATAACGGCGGAAAGTAAACCCAAAAAACAGGCTAACAGTGAATATTCACATAAATCGAAATCCCATAAAATAAAGACAGAATCGGAAAATTCAGAAACGAGTAAGATTAAAAAACAACATGCTCCTCCAAGCAGCGGGGCTCGCAAAACGGGCTTGGAGGAAGAGACCGCTTTGAATGCAGTTCCAACTAAAAAGCGGCCCTCAATTGAAATGGACCCCTCAAAACATTGTACAGAGTTGAAAAAGGCCAAAATAGAACCCCAAAACAACGAAACACAAACTCAATTACAGCATAAGGAAATTAAAGAAGAGCCTAAAGGAGCTACTAAGGTTGAAACGGAAAGTGAGATACAAAAAGAAAAATCGGATCAGAAGCTGACCAATGAAAAACCACTTGTTTTGCAACCACCAATATCAAAAACAATAAATCCTGATCCTCCAAAGCCCAAACAAGCAGTACTTTTAACTCAGGATTCTATGTTTGCAGATGCTCTGTTTAAACCAATGGCTCCTGTAAAACTGAAAGTGAAATCAAAGGTTAAAAGAGAAAAACACGAAATCAAATCGAAAGAGACTAGCAAAGAAAATATTAATTTGACCGTTTCGCCGACTAAACAAGTCAGCTCAGAGAAAGTTGGCAAAGATGGAAAAGAAGCTGAAATGGATACGGATTCTCCAACTGAGACAGAAGAAAAATTAATTGCGAAAGTTGAAGATGTCGCTGAAGCTAAGGAGCCGGAAGTCAAAAAAGTCCCTCGAGATCCTAGTTTGGGTCCGAAGCCCATCCTTATTTATATCAGAGCAGGTAAAAAAACCAACAGGGTTAAATTTAAAGATGACGATAATCTGGTTCAAGTTGAATACTTCGAAGTCGAGGATGGAGAGCGGACGAACTTCAGAAAACAACAGGATGCTGAAAGGTACCAAGACTACGCTAAAATCGAAATGATAAGGGAAAAGATGACGTTCCAAAAACTGAGAGGTTTTTCAGACGCTCCTGCGGGGGTGGAAGTTGACGATTCGTGGCGTCTGGCGTCATTCGAGTATCCCGGATCCTTTGATCAGTCGTTACTATTCGGACGCGGGAAAAATAGCACGGAACGCGAAACTCAAAATAAACGAGAAGTGAGCGTTTTGGCCGAATTGCAGTTTGACCGATCTAAGATTCCATACTCTCCCAAAGAACCAGACAGAGAACACTACGAACTAAAAGAGCCAATTGTCATTCCCTTGGGTGATCTGAACCCTCCGATAGTAGAACAGATGTTTCAAGGATCTTCTAACCCGCAAGAATCTCCACATGAACTGGTAGTTGTTACATCACCAACAGAAAAGCTTGCGCCAATTAACACCCCACTCGAACCTTCAATAACAACCCCAGATGTAATAACAATTGACGATGATTGCGTGAAGGTTCCAAGAGCGCCTCAGGAACTAGTTGCCCCTGTGTACAATCAAGATTCGGATTTAAGACTGGCAAACAAACAGGATGAACGTCAAAACAAGCCCCCTAGTTCTACTAGTATGTCTGTGAACGGAAACACTGAGGCAAGGGGAGGTCCCACTACCACGCAAGCTGATTTCATGCCGCCTCAAATTCTGCTTAAAAACAATATCCCGATTCCAGTTACATTACCAGGAGTCTTACCGCGTCCAAACTTCGCACTCAGACCGCCTTTCGATCCGAATACTATGGCTCTTAATCGCCCACAGAGACAAAATTTTCAGCAACCGCCGCATCCCATGCAATTCGCCGGTAGAATACAACGCCCTCCTATGCCTATAAAAAGTAGTTTTAACCCCAATCAGAATAGGTTTCGCGGAGGATTCAACCCAAATCATAGACCCAGACATCTTGGTCCAGGACAGAACCAAAGGTTCAACCAGCCCCAAAATCAAAGACCAAGGCATCCCGGGAACCAAAATTCTAATAGACCGACTCTCGACGCATCTCAAGTCTGCATGTTCCATGCTCAAGGCTATTGCAAAAATGGGGACAGGTGTAAACTTGTTCACGTTCCGAGGGGTCCACCGGCTGCGCCACAAGGAGAGACGTACAAGAAGGATATCGACCTGAGAGACTTTTTTCAAAATTGAAATTGTCCAGGTGTTTAAGCTGGATACATCGACTTAATTCAATCAAATTGAAAACTTGAAAAATGAAGTTGCCCGCCCGGAAATAATAGTTTCGTTTTGACTAATTTTTTTGCGTTTGAGTTCATTTTGAATGGTAAATTGTCGCCTCCGACAATTTTAGTTTTCTATTTGCTGTATTTATCCGAGCCTCAATTAAAATTAGAACTCTTCAGATTGAGATTTTTTTCCAAGACAGTAGAAGAAGAATTTCAGCTTGCTTCTTAGAATGCAATGTGGTTTCACTGTTGCTAAATTAACCGGAGCGTTTTGTTTTTCCATATTTTGATGCCAGATTTAGTTACCAATCATTTAGTTTTTTGATCGTTAAGTAAAGATGTTAAGACAATTTATACACGATCAGAAATACCTATGTACGAGCTTGTTCAGCTCAGAAAGTTCAACTGTTGCCTAGAATTCAATTAAATCTTGCCTTTAAAGTTTTGATGATTTTTTTGATCCGGGCTGAAACTCTTCGCTTCATTTATGAGCAACGAGCTGATCTTGGTACTCCTCTGCCTATCCAACCTCCCATGGCTCTTTTTTGCAAGTCTGAGGCTCCAGAATCTTTATATTCGATTCCATCAATCTCAACAGTCTTCGATTTTCAGAAGTTGGTTTGTTCATATTTAGAATTCTTAAACCTGATTTGTATGTAAAAAAAACATGCACGTTGTGGCTGAGAATGTAGAATCCGACTCTGGCCAAGTTAAGACTGACTTCGGCCGATGGGAACAGACTGAAGAAGAAGTGAATGTCATTGTGGATCTCCCTTCTAATCCAGGGTTCAAAGTCAAGGGCAAAGATGTGGCTGTGGTGGCCACGCCTACATCACTGGCTGTTTCAGTTTTTAAGGAGCAAGTACGGAGGAGTCACTAAGAAAAACTGAGTTTAAAATAAGTCGTGAAAAAATCGATGGTTCAATTACTTACAAGTTTTGGCTTTTTTCATGAAAAATTAAATCGGGATCAACCAGTACTCATTTTAAGAAGTTGCACAGGGTTTTAATTACTTAAAACTGAAATAAAGTAGCATAGGTTTTTCTTACACTTTCAAAAAAAAATTAATATGGAGGTTTAATAAAAAAGAATAATGAGAGTTGTCTGAAAAAAATTAAGACAGGATTGGATTTAGGGTATGACGTCCCACGAAAATGTTTCTCAATATTTGCATCTAGTCAACGCAGAAAATTGTATCGGGTAAACGCCAAAAAATATCCCAGAAAATTTGATAATTTAAAAATCTACCCCCAGCTCTGGGAAAATGTGCCATCTGGACCAAAAAAAGGAAATAAAAACTTACTAAACGTTCGAACGCTAAATGAACAAGATTTTATTTTGAAACGCAGTCTTTTGGTAGAAATTGAAGAACAGAAATAATATTTGGCAGAAGTTGAAGGGAGACCTGTTTGCTTGTGTCTCTCCATCTGACATGGTGTGGACGATAGACGACAACAAACTACACATCACACTTATCAAGGCACTCAAGGGATCCACTCACTGCTGGACTTCCCTCTTCAAAGACGGACCACCACACTCACAGTACACTGCAGACCCATGGACCCTGGATAATATGAGGAAACAGTTGACCAGAGAGAGGTTCCAGAGAGAGAATCCAGGCATGGATTTCAGTGGGGCTGAAGTGACTGGAAATTACCAAGGAGGAGGACCCGAACTACCTTCATAGTAGTTTTGGAAACTTTTTCTCAAACTCAGCCTATAGCTTTCCGGCCTGAAAACTAATTATGCTTTTTCTAAAAAAAAACATGGAAATAAATGTGTCTTTTGCTTTACCTCGCAATCTTTCATTATATCTATCTTGGTTTTATTCAATATGTTAACTTTCAACTAATCTTAATATACCTGATTAAATGTCGTCTTATTCATTCAACCAATAATTTCTTTGCAAAAGCAAAAACAAAATAAAACCTGCTTGTTTCGTCTTCCGCACTAATAACATCAGCTAAAATGGGTAGTCTTTACTATCACGCATTGAATCTAGTTGACATTCACAATGGTCTGAGATCCTATAGTAGTGCTCAAGTCAATTTCCATAACGGCTTTGGCGCTCACAACATTGTGGGAGATGTCACGGTGAGTTTTTAACCTTGCGATTCGCAAGGGTATTGCAACCAGGAACTGGGCTTTTTCCAGTTTTTTAGCAGATCACTCTCCAGCTAATAGTTGCCCGCTTGACCCAAAGGTAAAGTCAGATGTTGGGACTACAAAGGTCAATGGTGTGATTTCCCCCAGGATCGGTAAATTTGACAATTGGAAAATTTGTGCTGTGGCATTTCCTTTTAAAATGTCTGCTTGTGTTTTGTCGGCTAAGTTAGCAGAGGGTAGAATTGGTGATTTTACTGTATTACATGCTATAGTAACCTGAGCGTAAGATTGATTCGTCATTAAGTTAAATAGTACAGCAAACAAAGGGTAAAATTCGAAATAGTTCAATCTTCGAAGATATCGTCCCTCCTATGCCAGAAAGCAAAATTTGACAAAATCGGCGAACCCCCCCCCCCCCCCCAAAAAAAAATCAGAACTCAGAAAGCTAATGTTATGAAAATCAGAGGAGCGATACTAGAGATGATTTGACCCGGGCATGCAAAAATCGAGAGCCGTCAGACCCTTGGGGGCCAAATGATAACGGTCCCCAGAAGTGTAAATGGCCCTATCAGAACTCGGAAACTAGCGGCGGTATTGGGCTCAAATTTTATTATGTTGTAGGCCTAGTTAACGGAAGCTTCAGTTTCACATCCCAGATTCCTAGGAACCCCACTTCCGGTTATATGCCCAAAGTAAACAAACACACCCCTAACTTCCGGAAATCGTTTTTCGGCCACCGATGAGCGCGGGGAGCTGAAACTTGGAGGGATGATAGGTAGTGGCAAGATAAATCTTGTATTATAATTTGCATCAAATCCGGCGGTTGGACCGGAAGTTATTAGCACTTAGAAAAACACCCCCTTAGACCGGAAATAGGCAATTTACGCGAAATGATGAACGATGGCATAAAGATTTTATCGCGGCAGTGGACATAGGATACGGACCCCGAAAAAAGAGCCCTTGTGAGTAAAAACCCTCCGTTGACTCCTTTCGGTGTTATTAGCCTCCTCCCGGAAAAAGTGATAATGGACCTTGGAAATGGTTTAACTTGTGAAGTATTAATGAGATATGAATGAAACTTGGTAGTTGAGACCCCCATGGGATTTTGAACCCAAATATGGAAGTTTGACCCCGGTTGACCCCTGGGTGACTTTGAGTTGACCTTTGGGCGTTTTGACCCCAAACTTGCATAGAAAACCCCGAGAATAACACCGCAAAGTGGCGTATTCCCCAGTCCAACCCCTGGAAATGAAAATGGGTCACCTAGCTAAAAATTGGAAGAAAAACTTATATATTGGGAAGTAGAGCAGAAGCTGATAGAGATATAGCTCTTACATCGCAACCTTGGAGTAGAGGATTTACATCAAAAGGGACATGAAAAGCATTGGGTTCAGTTTAGCTTGGCGAGTAATCTATTAATAGCAATTCAACGAGAAAATTGATAGTAAAAGAACCGTAGCATGAGAATTAATTCTTCTAAATCGTTTTTGACTTGGCTTCTCAAAGGTGACTTTTGGTTGATTTGACCCCTAATAGACTAAACACTTTACCCTGATGGCTAGAAGGTCGCTACTTAAGGTCGAAATTAAGAAGGTCGAAATTACTAGAAGGTCGAAATTAAGATAGCTACCGCATACCGGGTATCTAATAAGTGTGAAAAGATTGATAAAAGAAACCGAAGTTGGGCCGTGGCAGAGTTGACAGGAGGAGGGATATAATCTTAAAACATGTGCGGACGGGTGATTTAGGCGGATGTCAGGACTGATAGCGAATGGCGTGACTTAAGTAAAACTAAATGTAAAGAAAGATGAGGAGTTGGAGGGTACCGGAGAGCCTTTAAGAGTCAGAACAGTGTTAGCTACCTTTAAGAGTAGTTGGTTCTCGTCAGAGAAGAGAACAGTTGTTAACTAATATTAAGAGTAGTTGGTTCTCAGTCAGAGAAGAGAAGAGTTATTGCTAGCGATTAGGGTAGTTGGTTCTCGAAAAAAGAGAACAACTGTAGCAAAAATAGTAGATAGTTGCTTCTCGTCAGAGATTCTCTAGAGAGAGAATAGCTCAGTATTAGTGGAGTTAGCTTGAAGTTAATTGCAATAAGGCAATTTATGCTGATAAATCGCAGACCCTTTCCTTATTATAACCTGGCCACTCAGAGCCCTCTGTAATCAGACGTATAATCATCTGAATTAAAATACAATTAGAGACTCTTGCGATTGTATCGACTAGACAAGACAGCCGGAAGAGCAATACACAAAAGGGGCAAGCAACAGATAGCAATACAGGATCTTTGCCTCCAAATCAATTCTTCAGGGATTGTAGAAAATAGTAAATCTCCGCCGCCCCTCTGAGTTCATTGCCCAGGGGACGACTTTGCAGTGTCGTTAGGAAAGAGAGAACGAACCTAGAGAAGAAATACCCTAATTCTACTTAGAGCTCAATTTTTTTTGAATGTATTTGAAATTTTAATTGCGTGTGTCGGTGTCTGATATGATGTTAGTTAACGATTCAATTGGGACAGTAATTATACCAAAATTAAGTTGAAAATCATACCACGAATTTTTTTACTATTGAAGCAAAGACAAATCAGTGGCGGAATTAGGGTGGAGGGTGAGCGGGGGGGGGGTTTCCCCAAGGGCCACTTAAGGATTTCCCCTCAGGGATTGCACGCCCTGCCAACCTAAAGGGTCCCCCTTTTATTACTTTGATATATCCATTTTGTTGACGGACCCAAAAATTCTTCTAAAGTCGCCTTGGGCGCCAATATACTAGTCTAGAGGGTGGAGCGCGCGCCGAAAAAACGCGATTTTTTGGTCAACATTTTCCAAATAGTGCCTAAAAACGCCTTTTCGGCCTGTGTTTTTAAAATTTTGCCTGCGGCGCATTAATTTTGGCAAAACAGGCTCTTTGTAGTGCTTTAAAGTCGCCTTGGGCGCCAATATACTAGTCTAGAGGGTGGAGCGCGCGCCGAAAAAACGCGATTTTTTGGTCAACATTTTCCAAATAGTGCCTAAAAACGCCTTTTCGGCCTGTGTTTTTAAAATTTTGCCTGCGGCGCATTAATTTTGGCAAAACAGGCTCTTTGTAGTGCTTTGGAAGAGCTCGCAAAATCAATTTGGTCGACCTAAAAAAAAGATTGACGAAATTTTCCTAGATCCTAGATCCGACCCTGCAAGTGATGATTATTAAACCAGGTTTCTGATTTTTAACCGAATGTAATTTTCTTCTCGAAAAAAAAACTGGTCACTATTATAAAATGCATTATTCCAGACAATTTTGTCATGTTTTTCTACTCGCTTTTTTTGAGCTGTTAGCTTTATTTGATGCAAGGCGAAAAAAAGGGTCTTGGGAGCTCTCCAGACGAGTCCGGTCCCATGAAGATGTAGCTAATGCGAACGTCGGAGCCCAAGCTAGAGATGACTTGAAGCGTGAGCAGTTCATCGTCGGGCTGTTTGATGTGGAGTTTCAAGACCAGCTCTTGCGGGAAGATTTGAGGAGCCTCGCTCAGGCCGCTGCTCGGGCCCAAGCCCTGGAGCTAGTCAACAGGACGTCACGGGCCAGGAACAGAAAGAGGCTGCATTTCGCGAGAGTGGCCGAGAATGTACCAGAGCAGGGGGCAGAGGCGAGTCGCGGTGCTGGTGGACAGACCAGTCGGCTGCCACATGTGGGGACCAATTGGGGACGACAGCAGGCGGTCACTGACCCGCGAATCGACCAATTGGTGAGTGTCCAGAGTGATCTTCTGACACAGATGCAGAATATGACGTCTATTATGGGTAGGTTTGTCACTTCTTTTATTCCTGCCCCCCACCCGGAGAATCTACCCCGCCCTGATCAAACCCAATGAACTCGGCAGCTCTTTGACCCTTACCCCAGCGAGGACCGTCGGAGTTCCCAGAACAGTGGAGTCGGATGCTACGGGGTGAAGAGCCAGGTACCCCGTGGCAACTGCTATGCATGTGGTGAGATGGGTCGCTTTTAGAAGGAGTGTCCGGTTCATTTAAACTACAGAGGGCCGGGGGCAAGGAGCGAGTTCAAAATAGGCCTTTTCCCGGCCGACCTACAGAGACAACAAGTATCGAAGCGAGACCAACTGACAGACGGTTCGAATAAAGGAAGCCACAACGAGTGGCGAAACGAGATGCTGATGTAGACAGTAATACGCTGTGGGAACAGGAAAAAGTTTAGCCGATTTTGGAACGATTACCTCGTGTCACAGAGGTCTCTCCCGGGCGAGAAACGAGAGAGCAACCACGTGTTGAGCAAGTGGGAATTAGTCACGATACCTGCGGACCCCGTGGGGTAGTCGTAGATGCTTGTAGAGGGAGCACCCAAGTCGAGGCCTTGCTCAATACGGGGGCCACGACTGACCTCATTCGTACAGATGTAGCTCGAGATCTCTTAGACTCGTCTGAGATTGAGCCATATTGGGGCAGACTAGAGACAGCAGATTGACAGAAAATGAAGTTGGATGGATGTATTACCACCCATCTGAAATTGGTAGCCGTTGACAAAGATCTTGATCAAATTGAAAGCAGAGATGGTTTTCGGACTTCGGTCACTGAAAGAAAATCGGTGCACATTGACGTTCAGCCACGAGGAAGATTTCATGTGGACAGGAACAAAAGAGGGTTTCAAAAATCCCATAAGTTATCTGCCACCCATTGTATCCCCAAAGCGGATACTCTCGACCCCCATGATCCAGGAGGGAAGAGTGAAGGAGAAGGCGATTCGAGTAAGGAGAAGAGGAGGCAGCTGATAGCGAATATAGCAGCTTCCGTCGAGCATTTCGATCGAGTCCCATCTG